CAGATTACTTCCTACTCGTGAGCGCCCCCTCTGTTGGGGAAAGTTTTTTCAGGGATACAAACTTTTTCAGAATACCGGTAGACGGCAGCCATTACAGACGAACATGTGTTTGTTGTTGTTTGAGGAGCGGCTCGGTCACACACTAATGTCATTAGTTTGTTATCATTACTGAGCTGCAGGACTGATTTTTACCCTTTTCTCACATCATGTCTCCTGCCTGGATCTGTTATTATCTCACTCTGAAGCACAGAGGAGTGTCAGAGGTGAACTAGTTTCAACTGATTTTTACGACGTGTCTCATTTCCAGACTCAGGCATTTTGCCGATATTTCAGTTAAAATACATAAGTAAAAATATTTATCTGAGTATAATACTATCCCCAACTTTATGGATGATTTTATGGATTAAATTTGACATATTATACTTGAATACATACGGTAAGTATAGAAATAAATATTTTTGGTATTTTTTATTAAATCCAGCARATTCCAGAGGTCTATCATTTAGCACAAGTGAGCTGACAGTATGGATCGGGCAGTCACTAGCTGAAGTTTTCTCACGTCAGACGGTTGCCACAGTTACCTGAGCGGGCTCTTCTCGCCCACCCCCTCCCTGCTCTCAGTCATCAGGTCCAACATGACGTTAAAGGACGTTTTGTCGTTGTAAAAGACGACCACGTCCTCYCCGGCGTTCGTCAGCTGCATGCAAGCACAGAACAACCCGATGACATCATCAAACGGAGACTTCCCCTCCACGCTGGGCTTCCCCGCCCCGTCCTCACCTCAGTCATGATCATGTCCTGGCACTTCTTCACGTACTTGCCCTCGGCCTTGATGATGGTGTGCAGGAAGTTGAGGTACTGGACGTGGCGTCCGTGCGTGGCCAGGCAGTGGATGAAGTGCTGCAGGACGCTCTCGGAGATCTCGCTGCACAGCTGGTAGTTGTTGCTGAAGATGTGCTGCACCGTCTCCGCCTCCAGCAGCTGCAGGACACCAACAAACATCAGGAAGTGTCTGACTGCCACCTGAACGGGCCCATCTAAAGACCGAGCGGAGGTGTACCCCGGGGTTCAGGAACAGGGTCAGGTTCTTGTGCAGCAGAGCCTGGTTCTCCTGGTTCCCCGTGCAGAACTTCTGCAGGAACAGGTGAGCATACTTGATGATCTCCTGCATCTTCACATCGTTCTGAACAGAGAGAGAAGGAAGAGACGCTCTATCAGGTGCAGCTCCACAGGGTCTTAAAGGGTCCTAAATATGGCAAGGTGTGAGGGCCAAGATTAAGACTGTTTCACAACCAGTGGCAGCTACATCCTCGTAGCAGGAGGCTAGATCTGTTCCTAAACAGCTACTGATCTGATTAATGACAGGCCGGCACCGCTAACTGACAGGCTAGTGCTGGCAAATGAGAAGGAGACTATTCATTTGTGTTAGCATCAGAGAGACTAGCGACTAGCATGGGGAAGCTGGTGTTAGCATCATAGAGGCTAGCAACTACCATGGATATGCTATTGTTAGTATTGGAGAGGGTAGCGACTAGCATGGACAAGCTGGTGTTAGCATCAGAGAAGCTAGCGATTAGCATGGATAAGCTGGCATTAGTATCGGACAGGCTAGCGACTAGCATGGATAAACTAGCCTTAGTATCGGACAGGCTAATGGCTAGCATGGATAAGCTGGTGTTAGCATCAGAGAAGCTAGAGAGTAGCATGGATAAGCTGGCATTAGAATCAGAGAGGCTAGCGACTAGCATGGATATGCTATTGTTAGCATTCGAGAGGATAGTGACTAGCATGGACAAGCTGGCATTAGGATCAGAGAGGCTAGCGACTAGCGTGGATATGCTGGCGTTAGCATCAGAGAAGCTAGCAACTAGCTTGGGTTTGCTGGCATTAGCATTGGAGAGGCTAGCGACTAGCGTGGATATGCTATTGTTAGCATTGGAGCGGATAGCGACTAGCATGGATAAGCTGGCATTAGCATAAGAGAAGCTAGCAACTAGCTTGGGTATGCTGGCATTAGCATTGGAGAGGCTAGCGACTAGCATGGATAAGCTGGCATTAGCATCAGAGAGGCAAGCAACTAGCATGGATATGCTATTGTTAGCATTGGAGAGGATACAAAAACTAGCATGGATAAGCTGGCATTAGCATCAGAGTGGCTAATCACTAGCACGGATAAGCTGGCGTTAGCGTCAGAGTGGCTAATCACTAGCACGGATAAGCTAGCGTTAGCATCAGAGGCTAGCAACAAGCATGGATATGCTATTGTTAGCATTGGAGAGGACAGAAACTAGCAAGGATAAGCTGGCATTAGCATCAGGGTGGCTAGCGACTAGCATGGATATGCTATTGTTAGCATTGGAGAGGATAGAAACTAGCATGGATAAGCTGGCATTAGCATCAGAGTAGCTAATCACTACCACGGATAAGCTGGCGTTAGCATCAGAGGCTAGCAACAAGCATGGATCCATACCTAAAAGGTTCCAGAGTCTCACCTTGTCATAGGACACCTGCAGCAGGTCCAGCATGACTTTATGAGCTCCCATGTTCTTCAGCAGCCTCTGCTGCTTCCTGTAAGCGCCGCCGCTGCACATTTTATGCAGCCGCTCCAGGATCTGCAGAGGAGAGGAAACTGTGAAGAAAACTTAAAAAAAGCTCCTCTTTCAGAAAGTTTCCCAGTAAGACTAAAACTGTTCCTGAGTTTAAAAATAATTTATATTTCTGCAGATTTTAAAGAGTTAGTTTAAACAAAAGTAGATTTTATTTATCAGTTAAATTATATTTTAAATTATTTATTTTTCTACATTTAATGAATGCTGGAAATCACAGGAGAAATCGTTCATAATTAATCTTAGCAGTCAAGTAATCATCAACAGGAAGTGACATCACAGCCCCGCCCACACTGACTGATTGACAGATTGATTGTTTTGCAGAAACGTCACAAAATAAAGACAAACTGAAAAACAGGATGCAGACGGAGACGTGTTCTCACCTCTTTGACGTTCTGGTAGCTCTCGTTACCTTTTTCCAGCTTCTCCTTCTTCTGCGACGTGCTCTCTGACGCCCCCTGCAGGACGCAGACGGTAAGACAACATGTGCACGTCTCATTTCCTACATGAAGAACTCTGTACACTGGCTTTTCTTCAACTTGGACCACCTGATCTAAAACCTTCAGGTCTGATCTGATCTGAACTGAAGGAAGCTGACCCCACTGGAGTTTACAACCACTTCCTGTTTCAACCAAATCTGCTTCCTGTTTCAACCAATCTACTTCCTGTCTGTCTGAATTTGGATTGTATCACTAAATATTTACTGGTTCCTTTGAAGTGTCTGTGACATGCCTATCCTTCAAATACAAAAAGTCAAAGAAAACATCTTTATACTAAAGAAAATTGGCATTGTACACATGATTTTACCCATTTCGTCACATAACTGGCCTATTTTCTAAGGAATTTGGCTCAACTAAAGTGAAACAGGAAGTGACATCAAAAGAGAACTCATTAATAAAATAAACTCACTGGTCTCTGTTTATTAAAACAAAATTATTTAAACTTTAACTCTTCTTCGTCTCTCTTTGGTAGTGACTAAAAATAATGTAAAAAACATCAGATTCTTCTCTACAGTCTGTGTTGTTGTAACAACGCTCTGTTTACATGCTGACATTCTCCTTTGACATCACTTCCTGTTTCTTTACATGCAAATATCTTATCAACTGTTCATCTGAGCGATGTGAAATTTGTTTTGCAATATGTTATCATTGTTATCTTTCCAACAATGCATTCATGTTTTTTACAAAAATTTGATGTCACAGGCCCTTTAATGATGTGTTTATCCTAAACTCTACTGCAGGACCTCCTTMAAAAAGGATCATTTGATCTCAGTGGGACTTACCTTCTAAATTAGTTTATTGTTATTAGTAAAAAATGAGAGTTTCTAAACCAGTGAAGGTCAGTTTGGAGCCTGTGCTTCTTCAGTCTCTTCTTTCTCATTAAATGCAGAAACAAAGTAAACAGAACAGAACCAGAGCTGCAACAACAAACATCTGTAAGGTCTTGATTCACAGAAAAACAGAACAAAGAGAAACAAGAACAAATAAAACAACAAATAAAACTAATCCCTGAGCAGAGACACCCAAACCAGCCCCACCGTCAGAAAAGTTTCACATCAGAAGAGTTCAGGATGCAGAATGAAAGCTTTCAGGAAACGCATTTATTTGTTTTTAGTTCTTTAGTTTCAGGAGTTTTTTTTATAAAGGCTGTAAATTATTTATTGTTCTATGAATGAAATAAAGCTGTTCTCTGATGATGAACTTTTCTTCTTCTGTTTCTGTGAATCCGAGTCAAAATCTGTTGTTTTTATAGTTTTTATTTTTATTGAACTTTTATAACATCAAACTTTGTGSTGATTTTTATGAAACCGTTTTACTTTTTAAAGTTTTTACTGTCCAGCCCAGGAAAACACTGATCCCCTCATTTCTGCTTCAGCTCTGTTTTCTTATSCTGCTTTTAGCTTTTAGCTACTATTCTGCTTCTTTCAGCTTTTACAGTTCTATTTGTAGTTTTAGTTAGCTGTTTGAAACTTTTAATTAGCTGTTAGCCTTTTAACTGTTTGTTAGCTTGATGCTACCTTTAAGCTTTTAGTTTGGGTTTTAGACCTCAGTAAAAAACTGTCTTTAAGGTTTAAACATTAATTATTTATCATTTTTGCACCATTTGGTCATTAATACAAATCTGAACTGAATTAAAACCTTTCTTTGTTTTTATGAGCTTTTATTGTGAAATATGAGTGAGAAAAATTTAATTTGTGCTTCTAAAAATATTGATTTTATGAAGAAAGAAAAATTAAAACTATTATTTTGTATTTATTTAAAAATTATATATATATATACACACAATGTATAAAACTACTTTTAATAAACTGCATCTAAAATTGAAATAAATGTATTTTTTACAGACTTCCTGGAAACCTTCAGAATAAAAGCTGCTCCTCACCTCCGTCTTGTCCTTCTTGCCGTCTCCTCCGGAGCTCTTCTTCTCCACCCACAGCTCTGACTTCTCCACCAGGGTCCGCAGGCGGTCCAGGTCCGCCTTGATCAGCTTGTAGTTGTCCACGTCCTGACCCGTGATCAGCAGCTGGACCTGCAGCCCAGAGGAGCTTTCATCAAATAATAATCCTGTTTAGTTCTGGTGTTTCAGGTTCTGATCGGGTTCCTGTGGTCCGCACCTGTTTGAAGGTGTGCAGGACTTCCTGTCTCTGGCTGAAGTGTCTGAAGAGCAGCTGCAGCGCTCCGGACACCAGGGGGGCGTAGTTGTGCATGGTGAGGTGGATCAGAACCCGCAGGAACATCCGACCTCCTTCATCGTCCACCTCCAGGATGCTGTTCCCCTTCCTACACACACACACACACACACACACACACACACACAC